TGCAAGGCATTGTGCTAAGTGCTTTCGTGTCCATTCTCTTTTATTTCTTTTTTAAACCTATAAGTGACCTTACTTCTTTTCCAGATAGTACCGTAGCAGTAATAGTAGTAATAGATGCAGCAGTGTAGTAGAAGCTAACATACCAAGGTCTTACTGTGTGCCCGGCACTGTGCTAAGTGCTTTATATGTATTAAATCATTGAGTCTTAGCAAGAATTTATAGACTAGGTACTGTAATTATACTTCCTTTTGTGGATGAATAAACTGAGGCACAGCAAGGTTAAACAGCTCACCCACACAGCTAGCAAATGGTAGATCCTGGATTTGAATCAAAGCAATTGGTCTCCAGAGCTTACTCTCTTAGAAAATAGGGTCAGAGAGATTAAATAACTTTTAGAAGTTAAAAGAGCTGATAAGAGGCAGAACTGGGATTCAGACATCATGTATGGCTCCAATCCATTGCCGTTTCCAGTGTGCCAAGCACCATGCTTCTCACTTACTTGTTTCCTCTGCCTCTCTGTGTAGGACTTCTTCTGTGGTGGATTTATTGAAAGATGCTTTAGGAATTCAAGATGGAATGATACAAGGGGTGATAAAAAGAGGCAAAGAGGAACTTGGAATCAGTCTGGTGGAGCTCTTTTTAGTCAGTACTTTGGCCTGGATATTTATTTTAAAATCTGCTTTCTGTAGAATTCTGCTACTTGTAATTGAGAGTACTTTTGTTTTGGATAATAGTTTCTGGATTTAAAGACATAGTGTTTCTTTTATTATTGTGGGTTTGGCTATGGGGCTGTTAGCTGTATGTTAGAGCAAACCAGAAAAGACTAGAACCAGGAACCAGACTTATCCTTGGTGTGGACAGGTGCTAGGAGAGAGGTAATGTGAGGAAATTAAACCCTTACAGATGGTATATCAGCTTCCTTGGGTTGTTGTCACAAAGTACTGCAAGGTGGTGGCTTAAAACATCAGGTATTTATTCTCTTATAGTTCTGGAGACTAGAACTCCAAAATTAAGATGTCAGCAGGGACATGCCCTGTCTGAAGGGTCTAGGAGAGAACGCTTTGCCTTTTTCTGGCTTATGGAGTTTGCTGACAATCCTTGGCATTCCTTGTCATTCCTCCAGTCTCTGACTGTCTTCATGTGGCCTTCTCCCCCGTGTGTGTGTGTGTGTGTGTGTGTGTGTGTGTGTGTGTGTGTGTGTGTCTATCTGTCTGTCTGTCTTTGTATCTGAATTTCCCTTTTCTTTTAGGAACACAAGTCATTAAATTTTGGGTCCACCCTAACCTAGTGTGATCTCATCCTAACTTGATTACATCTGAAAAAGAGCCTAATTCCAAGTAACAGTGCTTTCACCAGTTCTGGATGGGTGTGAATTTTAGGGGAGGGGGGCTGTCCAACCCAGTGCAAGTCGTATCCGGAGAGCTGGCAGCAAATGGCTCTTTGTACAGTCCGCGTGAGGGAAGGTTATTGGAGTACATGGGGGTTCTGACAGAGGACACTGTAGGAGCAGGTTGTGATCGGAGATTCAGGTAGGTCTTCAGCATCTGATCAACATAAGCAGGTAGGAGATTCCTTACCCCAGGCCGATCTCTACTTTCCATGGCACCCTGGCAAGACCAAGGTAAAATCTTTGAGGTATCAGACAAATGGTCAGTTTGCCAAGAGAAGCAAGTCAGGTACTCAGGATTTGAGTTATGAGCAGCTGTGGTCTCAGGTATAAAAAAAAGCTCACAGAGGAGAGTGGGGCCCATTAGGTCAGCGCCAGGGCAGCTGTGACTTACTGCTGAGTCCTAAACAGTGGGTTGAAGTATCTAAAAATCCCCTCTTCCTGGGGATAGGCCTGGAGCTCAGGCAACACTAAGCCTTCAACTTGGGGTTTAGTTGGCCATGGATGAGGGAGAGTAAGGAGAAATGAGTCAGAGTCTTCATTGTTATAATTCAGAAACAAACTTTGTCAGTTTCTGACACTGGCAAGTGTTAAGGTGCTGTGGCAAGGTGTAAATGAGAGTGGGTTTTGTGGGTAATAGCAGGTACTTTAGATAAAAGAGAAGGAAAATTGTAATAATTAATGTCATTTTTAAAATGAAAACTTTTGTGCTTCCTAGGAAACACTTGGTAGGTCAGCCTGCCTGCTCTCATTGGAGAGGCTGAGTCAGGGTTTGAGTTGTTTTGAGTTCACACTCCCTCTTTTTAAATTCATTCCTTGATAAGGCTTCTTTGGAACTTTATTTTTTTAACATGATCAAAATCCATACCTGTCTGTTTCTCCCCTCACCTTTAAGCTAGGTTGATTTCTGGTAAGAAATATTTTTTAGACAGTTCATAAGAGCAAGGAACCCCATTGCTCATGCTAGTCAGTGGCTCCTCCACCTACATGTCTCCACCCTCCTATCCTTGTTCAGTTACTGTTGACGTGTGTGTGTGTGTGTGTGTGTGTGTGTGTGTGTGTGTGTGTGTCTTGTCTCCCTGGGCCTATGTTATGTTCCTAACCCAGCGTCTTTATTAAGTTAATTTTGTCTTTTGTTAGTTTTGGGGACCCTCTGAAGTTCTCCATGTAAGACTGTTTCTTGGTTCCCAAAGTTACCATAGACTATTCAATGCTGAATGTTACTATTCATAAAGTTTTGCATACCATATTATTTGCTGAGGATAAATTGCTAGAAGTGAAATTGCTGGATTGAGGATATGCAATTTTGGATGCTTTTTATGCATATGTATTTCCAAATTACTCTTCATAAAAGTTTATATGCTCTAGTTGTGTATATGAGCACTCTTGTCCTTAAACTCTTACTAATAGTGATTATTTTTAAAGTGTGTCAGTTTGATAGACAACAGATGGTATCGTATTTTTGTTTAAATTAATTTTTTATTACTAGATTAGTTTAACATTTTCATGTTTATTGGCCATTTAAAAGTTCTTGTTTGGGCATTACCTGTGCTTATTTGCCCTTTTCTTTTGTAATGTATGCTTTTTTAAAAATCCCATTCCTTCATTTATTAAACAAATATTAATTGAGCACCTTTTATGTACTAGGGCCAGACACAGTTTAGGTGAACAGCACGGACAAAATCCCGGTGATTAAGGAGCTTATATTCTCACGTAGTGAGGCAGAAAATGAATAAATATGTCATTTGACAAGTGGGGATGGGACTATGAAGAAAAGTAGGCATGAAATGATTGGGTAGGGGAGGGAGATGCTGTTTACAAGATCTGAAGATTAAGGCGCAAGCACTGTTGATATTTGGGGAAAGCATTACAGTTGGAAGGAACAGAGTGCGAAGACCCTAAGGCAGGACTGTGCTGACTTTTGTTTGAAGTGTTTGATGAGTGAGGGGGAGAGTTAGGAGGTGAATTTGAGAGGTAGCAAAGAGTGGGCTGGATGTAGGGGTGCAGGCCAGGCAGGGCCTGAGAGCCAGAGTAAAGAATTTGGATTTCATTCTGAGCAAGATGGGGGGGAGCCATTGGAGAGTTTCAAGTATTGAAGTGACGTGACCAGGCTCCCCCCTCCTTTTATTTATTAATTTATTAATTTATGATCTAATTGGCTTTATCAAGCAATCCATGGATCAGGCGGTGTCCTGTCTAGCAACTGGAAGGGTGCTCCCAAACCAAATTTTTTAAAAGAACATTGGCGGTGGCAAGTGGAGACTAGGTTGCGGCAACAGTGGAGGACTCTGGAAGGCCGCTTAGGAGCCGCTTGCAGGGTGCCAGAGGAGAGAGTTCAGTGATGTGGGGGCAGGGACAGGTGATCCTGGATATGTTTTGAACATAGAACCAATAGATTTTGCTGATGGATTGGGTATGAGGGTGTGAGAGAAAGAGGAGCTAAAGATGACTCCAAGGTATCGGGCCTGAGCAACTGATAATGCAGTTGCCTTTTGCAGAAATGGGGGAGGAAATGTGGAAAGAACAGGTTTGATGCTGGTAAAATCTTAATGATTTGTGAGAGTTTTTTATGTGATGAAATGTACTAATCTTTTGTCGTTTAGGTAGAAATGGCTTTTTTTCTCCTCAGTTTGCTGTTAATTAACCTTGTTAGTGCTGTGTTTTGCTGTACAGAAATGCCAGCTTTTTATTTTGTCTGTTAGACTTTATAGTTTTTGGTTTTGCTGTCATGTCTAGAAAGATTCTAAAAATATCACACATGCTTTCTTTAGGTACTCTTACAGTTTTGTATTTGCATTTAACTCTTTAATCTGGGTGGAATTAATTTTAGTGTAGACTGTGAATTAGAGTTCAATCTTAATTTTTCTCAAATAATTAACCTGTTATCCTGGCATCATTAAACAATTTGTTCTCTGCCGAGAGAAATAAATGATTGTATCATTTCCTCTGAATTGGGAAACAGGAGTGTATGGCAGGCTGTGTAGAGGTATTTTATCACATGCTGGTGTTTAGCAAGTCCCTGATCTTATTTTTCGTTGATGACATGGTGATTATAATTACTGAAGATTCCATTCCCAAAAGAGGTACTTGCCTTAGAAGGTGACTTTCCTTGGTTTCCCTCAATGACTATGAATCCTGCCTTGTGGATGATATGTGACCTCTTTTTTACCACAGCCTATGTTCTGCCACCAAATATGCTTTTCTGCTACCTTATTTTGTCAACGGATAATTGTTCCAAGATTATAAACTAACATTTGCTTCAGCATACAAAAATTGATTACAATGCATACTGCAGATTCCCAAAGCCTATATAACCTTCATGTTTTCCACTTTCACAGCCTCTGTACTCCAGTCCTTCTCTGATACATGGATAATTGAAAGGGTTTTTTTGAGGTGGTAATAGTATTTAATCTCCTGGATTTTTTTTATTTTAAGGCAAGAAATGGATTTCTTATGTTATTAATAATGTTTATCAAATTTTATAGTTGGGTGAAGTCTTTAAGCTTGTAAGTAAACCTCCAGTATGTTGTCACCTTAGAAATTTGTGTCAAGGCTGATTGAACCTAAATCTTTTAAATGTTTTCTTTCTTTCTTTTTTTTTTTTTTTTTATAGAGAGGTAAATATGAGGTTCCTAAGTGGCTCTCTCCCAGTAGCACTCTGCTTCTTCAACAAATGCTACAGGTAATCTTTGTTACTTAGTATTTTTAAATAATAGAAGTCTGTTGGAATTGTTTGACCCAACTTGAAGATGTCTGTGATGCTCCTGTACTTGGAGGACAGCACCGTTTATCTATTAGCTTAAAAAAATTGCACTCGTTATGTCTGCTGTGCAAATGTCCTCTACTAGATGCTTTAATTCTGTTGCAAATGCATTTCCTTTTAGCCCTCTATTGCACATCTTTGCTGATGCGGTTTTTCATGCTTTTTCTTGAGCATTGTCTGTTTTCTCTAACCGGCTCTTGCTCCCGCTATCTTCTGTTTTCTTGCTCTCACTCTTGTATATTCGATAGGTAGTAGATACTTGATAAATGCCTGAATAAGCTGATATACAATTGAGTGGGCCTCATGATCTAATATAGTGGTTCTCAAACTTTAGCATGTGTTGCAGTTGCCAGATGGGCTTGTTAAAACAGAGATTGCTGGGTGCCACCCAGAGGGTGTCTGATTCAATAGATGGGGGTAAGACAGAATTTGAACTTCTAACAAGCTCACAGATGACAATGATGTCACTTTGAGAACCACTGATTTAGTGGGATGGCTTCTGAGTGTGAAAGACAGGAATGCTGAGGTCTAGGTATCCACCCTGCCAATCCAGGTGCCTATAGAAAGGCGATGGTGGGCCTGGCCTCACTGCTATGTATTGTTATGAGGATAAAATGAGATTAATAGGAAGCACTTTGAAAACACTTTGAGTACCTTATTAGTGCAAATTTTTTTTCATTATTATGTATTCAGGCTATCTCCCAGTTTTTCCATCTATTAAATGCCATTTCCACTTTTTATTCAAAATTTACCTCAGGCTCACCCACCTTGATTAAGTAGGGCCAGACCACCAAATCTCTGTAACGAGATTGAAAACACCTCATCCTTTCTTCTAAGTGCCAAAAAAACTTAATCTTTGTTGATTAATTTTCCTTTCCTCACATTTGAAAATTACAAATGGAAAAGAAAGGTGCGCTTTTCAACTTGTTCTATGTGATCGTAAGCCCTTCGGGAGGTAGAGATTGCATATTCAGTATGAATGCCCTGCATTGTGGTTGTTTGAATATTAAATTGGTGAATATTTCCTGTGAATAGGTTTTCCAGCAAAAGACTATTACATCATACAATAGATTGACTGAATTTCATGAATAATGTCCATACCAATGAAGTTCGTGTTTGTTAAACATTCATCTTCTAAGCCTATGTTGGTTGCTATAGTTTTCTTGCCTCTCTTGCCTTTTTAAAAGAATTTATTCCAAGGCCATTTTAAGGTCTTTGACAGCATTTCTGTGATGATAAAGTTTACATCTGTTCTGATGAATTTTGAGTTCTTGTGAGGAAAAGAGTTGTTCTGTGTTCGTTTGGAATGCTAATCTCTAGCTACTTCTCCATGGCCACTAGGTGGACCCAAAGAAACGGATTTCTGTGAAAAATCTATTGAGCCATCCCTGGGTCATGCAAGATTACAACTGTCCTGTTGAGTGGCAAAGCAAGAATCCTGTAAGTAAAATGAAATCCAGTAGAACTCTTTAAAAAAATTTACTTGATCTTTGTGTGGATTCATAACCTACAATGATATAGTCTAAACGTAAAACAAAATGTACTTCATAGATTATTCGTCAGACTGGTGTTTGGGAGACTTGCAACCTAATTATATGCTGTATTTACCTGTTTATCTCTGATAGTGGTTATTAACCCAAACTGCACATGAGAATCACTGGGACCTTTGAAAAGATGTGTGTGTCCCGTCCCAGAACAATTAATGGAGATGTTTAAAGCTCCCAGGTGTTTCTCATGTGTAATCAGGCTTGTGACCAGTGGTCTGGGAATCATGGGCGAGTTACTTAACTTTGCCAAAGCTATTTATTCATCTGTAAAAAGTAGGTTAAACCAGTTGTCTACTCTCCAGAGTAGTTACAAGGTTATAGTTAGGTTCTTAAACTTTTAAGTCTGGGGACTTCTTTGTGCTCTTAATATTTGTTTATTGAGTCATTTAAAAGTAACAGTAGTGAACCGATTACATTTTATCACAAATACATGTTTTTTATGAAAAATAATAAAAATAAATAAGTAAGAAAAGTTGCATTGTTTTACACTTTAGCAATTTTTTTTAAAGGTCTCGCTTAATAGAAGACACTGGGCCCTGGCTGGTGTGGCTCAGTGGATTGAGTGCCGGTCTGTGAACCAAAGGGTCTCTGGTTCAGTTCCCAGTCAGGACACATGCCTGGGTTGCAGGCCAGGTCCCTGGTGAGGGGCAACCACACACTCATGTTTCTCTCCCTCTCTCCCTCCCTTCCCCTCTGTCTAAAAATAAATAAGTAAAATCTTTAAAAAAAAAGAAGACACTAGGATCTGATCTGCATTCAGTCAGTTTTGATTAAAGCATATGAAGAAAATGCAGCCTCACACAGATATGTAATAGGAAAATGGATAAGTATTTTAATAGCTTTTTCAGACAATTGGAGATAGTCTTTGATATTCCATTAAAACTTAACAAGTGGTAGTTTCCTAAAGGTTAGTTGCATGTGGAATCTGACACCACATCAACAACTTTTTCTTTTCCAATACATTAAAACCCACTAGTCTGTCCATTGCATCTTTTCCACATGTAACACTAGGCATTGGTTATTTGGAAAATACCTGTTCACTTATTTATGCAAATCTTCCAAATGCTAACACCTTTCTTTATACGGTATTTTTAAAAAGCCACATTTAAAAAAATCTGTTGTTGTTCAGTTACAGTTGTCCCACCGTTTTCTCCATTGCTCACCCCTACCCCGTCCTCCCCATTCCCGCAGGGAACCCCCTCCCCATTGTCTGTGCTCATGAGCCCACTATTTGTGTTCCTTTGCTCGCCCCTTCCTCTCATCCCCATTACACCGCTCCCCCGCCCCTCCAGTCACTGTCAGTTTGTTCTTTATTTCCAAGTATCTGGTTCTGTTTTGCTCCTTTGTTTGATTTGTTTATTAGATTCCACTTATAGGTGAGGTCATACGGTATTTGTGTTTCACAGCCTGCCTTTTTTCACTTAGCATAATGTTGTCCAGCTCCACCCATGCTGTTGTGAAGGGTAGGAGTGTCTTCTTTCTTTCCGCTGCATATTTACACAATGAAAAAAACACATTTCTTGAAGTCACTATTGATCTCATCAGAAAAGTCTTTAATTATTGGAAAACTGTCAAGCTTATGGTGGCAAAAGTGAAACTGGATTTTTTTTTTTTAAAGCTGTGGGTGCACTACGAAGAATGCAGTGTGTTAGTACAGTTTGGTGCCTTTGCGTTGATTTTTTTACTCAGGCACCAGCAGTTTCACTCATCATTGCTTTTGTCCCATCAGTGCAAATGGTAACACTGAAAAATGAAAAACAGTATTATTATAAAAATAGTTTTGTCATTGAAGATCCTCAGGGATCTTTGGACCACACTTGAGAATTGGTCTAACATATATGTGAAGGAACTTTAATACAAAGTGTTACGCCAGTTTAAGCAATCATTTAAATAATTATTTCTACATTAATGTTAAAATAATTTTTTTTTACCATGGCAGCTTGAACTTGGTAAAAATGTGAAGATTACTGAAAGATATGTATACTTTGTGTAATACTTAACTATTGCTGTTTTAAAAACCATTCCAGAATTTAGTGACTGGGGACAATGATAATGTACAATTCCGTAGATCAGCGATTTGGGCTGGCTCAGCTGGGCGGTTCTTATGTGGATCTTGATCTGGGGTTGCTCATGTGACTGCAATCATCTGGTGACTGAGTTGTGGCTGAATGGTCTACGTGTGTTACTCAAAAGACCAGCTGTTTCTGCTGGTTGGCTGTTGGGCTACATTGTCTTCAGTCAACTAGCCTGGGCTTCTTGATACGGTGGCTGGATTCCAAAAGAAATAAGAAGGTGGCCAAGCCCTAATGCTCATTTTTCAAGCTTCTGCTTGCATCTTGTTTGCTAATGTCCCATTCTCCAAAGCAAGCCACATGCCGAAGGCCAGAGCCACTAGGGATGGTGGGCCCTTAAAGGTTGGTAATATTCTTATTCCCTTTTGATACATAAGTAAATTGAGAAATGAAAAATAACTATTAAAACATAAATTTTGTGAAAGGAGTGGCATTGCTTTACATGTTTGTGAATTTCTTTTAAGTCTGCCTTTAATAGAAGACACTTAGATACTCATCTGTTTTTGCATTCAGTGTGTTTTGATAATGCTCTTTTCAGTGAAGCATATGAAGAAAATGTGCCTCACACAGATATGTAGTTAGAAAAGTATTTTAATACTTTAAAGGAGAAATATTTTAATAGCCTTTTCAGATAATTGGAGGTGTTCTCTGATAATCCATTAAAACAATGTGACGAAGTGGGATACATGCATGTGTCAATAGAGTAACTTAGAGGTGCGTCTCAGACATGCCACAGTGTGGACTTGGTAGAGCTTTGGGATATGTACTTTCTAGGACAATCATACCAACAGATATAAATACTCTTCCCTATGGCCAACTGGTCTTGGAAAAACAGACTGCTTGTTTTAGCCCCTTCTCATTAGTCTGCCTACTGTTATGGCCATGCAGCCTGAGCTGAAATCCCTTCTGATTCTCCTATGACTGTCAACTCCTAACATTTCTCTTCTTCTTATTCTTCTTTTTTTAAAAAAGATTGTATTTATTTATTTCTAGAGAGAGAGGAAGAGAAGGGAGAAGAGAGGGAGAGAAACGTGTGTGGTTGCCTCTTACACGCCCCCCACCGGAGACTTGGCCAGCAGCCCAGGCATGTGCCTAGACTGGGAATCAAACTTATGACCCTTTGATTCACAGGCTGGCACTTAATCCACTGAGCCACACCAGCCAGGGCTACTAACATTTCTTTTCTCCATGTTGCCTTTGGCTCTTCATGACATAGTGTCTATTGAGCAAATACAATTAGAGCTGTAGCTTAATTCCAACAGCTCTCAACACCAAGAGCCCGAGAACAGCACAGTGTGCAGGTGTCTGGGCAGTGCAGCAAGGAATGTGTCCCTTGTGAGGCGGAGAGTAGGTGGTGCAAATGCCTGTCTTCAGCCATTGGGGGTCATCGTTTCTCCATGTGTGGGAGGGCTTTGCCTGTCTTCTCAGCCATGATTCTAATAAGATAGGATACACAACTGTTTGTAATAGGGCAGGTGCCAAAATGAAGAAAGTCTTTGATTACAACAACAAAAATTAGTTTAAAGTGAGGCATAGTATAAAGTAAAATACATAGCTTTGAGTATTCCAAAAGGGTGTATCATTTTCCTTTTTCTTTTTTTAAAATTTTATTTTATTTTTAGAGAGAGGAGGGAGAGAGAAAGAGAAAGGGAGAAACATCAATGTGTGGTTGTCTCTCGCACCTCCCACTGGGGACCTGGCCTGCTACCCAGGCATGTGCCTTAGACTGGGAAATGAACCAACAATGCTTTGTTTGCAGGCCGGCACTCTTTTTTCTTACATCATAGTATAATAATTGCTAATATTTATTGAATACTTACTGTAATGGAATAGTTGCTATTATAGCAAGAACTTTATATTATACTATACTATAATACAGGTATAGCTGTTAGGATAATACCTTTAAGAGTCAGGTGCTATTCTCTGGGCTTTATGTTTTTAACTCTTGTAGCTCATTTAATCTTTATAGCAACCCTTTGAAGTAGATGCTGTTATTGTCCCCATTTAGCAGAGGCGACAACTGAGATACAGAATCATGAAGCAACTTGCCCAAGATAAAACAGCTAGTAAGTGTAGAACCAAGATTTCAACCCAGACAGAAAGGCTCCAGGATGTAATGGATCTGATAGGTCAACTAGTTCAGCTTCACACCCCATATCCTGTGTAGTTGTAGCCTTTGTGATAAGCGTTTCTTATCTGGCCTCCAGTTGGAATAGCTGCTGGAGCAGAGTCATGGAGACGTGGTATTGTGATGGGGTAGAAAAGCCCTGGGCTAGGAATGAAAAAATGCCAGTCTTGGGCAGCTTGCATGAAATTTTCCGATTTATCATTTTCTAATCGCTGATATGGGTATGTTAATGTCTCTTACATGTTTAGGTTATGTTTTGGCATTTATAGAGTGCCTTTACATGTTATATCATTCATCTGTTGTGCATACCTTACAGAGCCGTTGCAGGGATCAAATCATTTATATACAGAAGAGGAATAAGGGATTGTTCTTGCTTTTCAAAGTCTTTTCTTTTCTCTCTCAGTATTGTGTTTCATCAAGAGTAAACTATAAAGGGAACTAAATGGTAACGGGAAATGCACAATAAAGATAAAATTAAAAAAAAAGAGTAAACTGTAAAAATAATTCAGATTTACTTGGATACTTAGGGTATAGATTCTATTCTATAACTGTATGCATGATCTCCTACAATTTTCACACATAACTCTAGGTCCTAAGTATTGTATCAAATAGAAGTTACATTGAGTTCTATTTTCTGCCCTACTGAACAGGATTGTACTAGGCACAGAATATCCAAAATAATTGGCCAGCTTTTGGTATGCATTGTTGTGCTTAATTTTACTTGGGTATTGTGGCTGTGAATTCAGGTGCTTAAAACAAAGTATTGAGCCATACTTTTCAGACTTTGGTTTCTTGTCCACACACTCTCCTCCTTTTTAATTCAGGGGCCCAGGAAAGAAGATAGCACCTTCTTCCTACCCTTCCCTCCTTTCTGCACAAACCTTTTGGTAAAAGAGCAGAAGGCTGTGGGAAAGAGAGGGCCTGCTTTTTTTTTTTTTTTTTTTTTTTTAAGAAGAGTAATTTAAGATCATGGAGGGAAGCCCAGGAATCTTTCCCTTCTTGTTTGAGCAGTGATGACATTAACAAGGAGATGCCTAACTGGGCGGTAAAGTGTCTGGGCTTCTGAGGGTGAGCCCTTCGTGAAGGGGGATTTTCAAGTTTTGGGAGCTGCCAAAGTCAAAACAACATAGTGAAAACTTATTCTTAACACTTTAGACTTTCATAGTAGCGTGAGTATGCACCTTTGTGATCTCCCTTCTGTGAGGCTGTGCTCCTACCAGTCATGCAGATCCTTGTCTCTCCTGTTCTGTTTTCATGACAGCAGCATGACTTTCTCTTGAGCTCTTTGTTACAAGTGTAATGTCCAGGACAAGAGAGGGTCACAGTATTGTTCTGCCTTGTCTTGGGCAGACTCTCTTGGCCTATTATGTTTGGTTCCGAACACCTCACCTTGAGGGTCAGTGACAACCTGGATTGTGTGAGAGAAAGGACCTGAATGGTAAGGGGAGTTAATCATTAAAATGGTGATTTAAAAGAAGGGAAAGAGAACACTTGCAGAGGAAAGATTGTCTATAATAGGGATATTCAAATTTCTAAAAGGCTTTTATACCAAAGAAGAGGTAGAATTATGACTGATGGTAAAAATAGTTAGCCAGTTCTTAAGCGCCTGTTCTAGTCAGATATTGGACTAGGTACTCCGCATATGTTACATCTGTTCCAAGGCAGATGTCATCTCTTTTTTACAGATGACGAAACTGAGGCTCAGAGAGACATAGTAAGATGCTCAAGGTCACACAGTTATTCAATGATGCCGCTTTTAAAACCAAGGTCTGTCTAATTCCAAAGCCTGGTATCTGTCAGATTGTACTGACTCCGAGTGGATAGGGATCACAGGAAGACAGGCCATCGGGGAGGGGAGGGAGAAGCTAACTGTCTCAATTTTTCTGGAGAAGGAGGACTTTAAACCGCAAGCGAAACATCACTTATTGAGGCTGTTGTGAAGAGACTTCTTACATGGGAAAGATGACTTTAAAATTATGTTTCTAAAGATTCTCTTCTCATGTGATTTTATGAACTCCTGTGAGCCAGCTCCAGGCCGGGCCCTTCCTGCCTTCTCATTCTTGGTGATCCTTGTTCAGTCCTGAGAATACATTTCAGGCCCCATTTTTGGTGAGGCCTCATCATGCAGGTATCAGAATATATAGATGATTTCAAAATAAGGTTTGAATTGAGGCTGCCTCACTTCTTTTTAAAAATTGTGTTCTGCTCGTACCTTCAGCGTAATGATGGTTGTAACATCGGTGGCACCATCCTAAGGACTCTTTGGATTGTGCTAAACCCAGACTTAACCTGAGGGGCAATCTGTTGCAGGTCCGAGCCTCTCTAGCGGTCTATTGTCCAGTCATTGATTTTGGTCCAGGTGACTGCTCTTTGATGAACATGCCAGTGCAGGTCCTGTGGTCCGAAGGAGTTTTAGTCCCTGGGCTGCATAACAGAATTTTAAGAATTAATCAGATTACGGTGGGGCTGTGAAGGTCTGGGAAAGAGCTCATCTTCTTGGATTATTGTCATTTGCTTATATCTTTAAAAATGATGGAGAATGTTTATTTTTACCCAAGAATTTGGCAAACTCATGTTGCTTTTACATGTTGGTATTTGCTTTTACAAGGTAATTATGGTCATTTTAAAGTTTTAAGACAAATATTTTGTAATATTTTTGTTAATGAAGTTTATAAAAATTTTTTTGTAGCTTATTCACCTTGACGAAGATTGTGTAACGGAACTTTCTGTACATCACAGAAATAACAGGCAAACAATGGAGGATTTAATTTCATTGGTAAGAAATGACAGCATGAATTTGAGAGTAATATCTTTTATTTCATTGTTCTTGATTTTATCAGTACATTAAAAATAGGGTACTGAAATTGAACTCTTGAGTTTCCATCAATTGCCTCCCAACTCATACCTCTCTCAGTTTTCCTAGTAAATGACATCACCATACATTGCTCAACCAAGAAAAAAAAATTGGTAACATTGTCAGGCCTACGATTTTATCATGGGTGTTAACTATTGCATTTATTTTATATTCATGTATTATTTCTACTCAACTCTTTAAATGTCTACTGGATAGCCTTTTAAAAAATGACATTGATTAAAGAGAATTATAGTAGAGAAAATTAAGAAATAGAACAAACTAGTCCAAAGAATTGACAGAGTTCTGATTTTGACCAATTTCTCTAATACAGAATTATGATTCTGCTGTAGAAAGAAGGTAAACACGGGACAGTTTCCTTCTTTCCTAAAAGCAACCCTGTAGCATCATATCACCCCAAGATGATGAACCTAATACTATGAAATCCTTATCATGATTTCTGGTATTGGGTCATTTTTGTTCTTTCAGATGCTCTGATCTCTAGATTACGTATTTCCTAGAGATGGAGGCACTCACAGTTGTGTCTGAGTAGAATCTAAATGCTGGGCTGGGATTGCACCCAAATTTTCTTCTTCAGTTCTCTGGCTTTCATCGCCTATGATTTGTATTTTTTTTTCTGTTTTCTAACTTGCAACGTAAAAGCCGTAAGCACTTTTTTCCCCCCTAAACAAAACTTTGCTAAACCACAATTTTTAAAAGAGAGGTGGAGCTAGAAAGGCATTCTTTTGAATGACATAATAAGCAAAGGCTCTGTAGTATGTCTGGAAAACAGAATGATAATTTACTTTTGCACAAAATAAGAAGGAATGGCCAGAATTGGGAATTACTGCAAGATATATAGATCCTTAATTTTTTACAATGAAAATGGGAAGTTTTCATATACGCAACTTTTAAAAAATTACATGACTTTTTTGGGGGGAATGATCTTTAATAGAAGTCTGTATTTCAGATACATAAAATTTGTTTTAAAATTTTTATTATAGAAATTTTTGAACACCTACAAAATTGGAGAGAATAGTATAACCATGATCTTTCATATACTCATCATCTCATTTCAATAGTTACTAACATTTTGCTAATTTTATCTATATCCCATTACACTCCACCACCTGCACTTTCCAACTGGATATTTCAAAACAAATCCCCTACATTATATCATTTGAAACTTGGTATGAAATTCACAAATTTTAAAAATTTGAATCTTAAAAGTAACGTACTCAGAATTTCAAGAATCATTGGAAAAAATTCTTTAAAATAGTATCCTTTATTTGGTCTCTAAATACAGTTTTGAAACTTAAAAGTGAAATGGAACTAGGAACTGTTTTCTTTACTTCTGATACAGAAAACAAAATATATAATGAAGCATGATAGAGATTATTTTCTGGTATTACATCTCTCTAAGTTTCTCAGTTATTCTGAGAACTAGGCATGACCAAGATCAAGAATGCTGTGAGGAAAGTAATAGTTTCTCTTCTTTTGTATCCTTCCCTTATTCTTAAATGCCTGTCTATAGCTGTACTTATTTTCCAGTCGTAGGGATGAATAGAATACATCTCCTTAACCTTGGCTGAACATTGGAGTCAAACCTGGGAACTTGAAACTAATTCTGATGCCTTGGTCCTACCCTCAGATTATGATCCCTTTGGTCTGAAGTATGGCCTACGCATCACAACTTTTAAAAGCTTCCCGAGTGATTGCAATGTGCAGCCAGGAGTTAAGAAGTATTACTCTAGATTCTTGCTACTTAAAGTGTGCCCTAGGACCAGCAGCATCAGAGTCGCTTGGGGTTTATTAGAAATGCAGAATCTCAGGCTCCACCTCTGACCTACTAAATTAGAATCTGCATCTTAATAAAATCCCTGAGTGAGTCGTGTGTACATTAAAACTTGAGAAGCATTGGGCTATGTCTGTGGTTCTCAACTGGGAGTGACTTTGCCCCTCAGAACATTTTTGGTTGTCACAGCTGGGGTTTGTGTATGTACTAATGGCATCCCTGGTAGAGTCCAGGGATGGTGCTGAATATCCTATAATGCACAGAATAGTCTGTCACAGTATAGGATTATCCAGGTCTTAGGTCAATAGGGTTGAGGTTGAGAAATCCTGGCCTAGGTAGTCTCAGAGAATTCACATTGGTCCTAAGTACCTTTTAGTTTAAAGAGCCTCAGGAAAGCCAGGTTCGAGGTCAGCTGTGATCCTATTCTTCTGGCCTCTCGGGAACTCTGCTTTTACTTGTGGGGGAGTTAGGACAGAGCGAGATCAGTTTATTGTGTCCCATGCTGATATGAGGCTGCTGATCTTTGTCCAGGGAACGAGAAACATTATTCCCAAACATTCAACTGATAGAACCCCCACTTTTATATTGTACATGAGCACACTCTTAAACTGCTTTTTATACGCAGAAGTCAGAGTTTCATAGGTCTCATGATTTTGAGCTATCTCATTGCAGCCCTTTGAGACTTCCAGCAGTGGTCCTAGAGCTCCCACCTCGTCACTTTCCTTGCTTTCCCCTATTCTTTCAGCTCTGATTGGCTCTGGGTTGTGGGAGCTGCCAGTCATGTGATAGGGGAACTTCACTGAGGGTCACATGTGCCATGAGAACTTATTTGGAGCAAGGCGTCCCTTTACCCTATGCCTGCAATAAAAATGCCCATGTTTCTGGTGGTGGGAGCTTACAGATTGGGGGTCCTGGGAGCAAGGTCAGGGGAAGGATTTCTCCAACCCTCTGTACCCACAGCTGCCTCTCCTCAGCCCAGGTGACTGGGCAGTCCTTTAATATTTGGCCTGCCTGGACAATGAGGGGATTTAAAAATGTTTTTAGTTTTCTAGAAATGGTATCTTCTTTATAACAGGTAAACCTATTGCTTCACTTTCAGACATTTGACTTTCAAAAGAGGGAACTGTGTAAACGATAAGGGAGACATTGGCTGGGTTAGACTTGTGGACTGACATCACTTGAAAGCATAACTAATGTGTTGATTTATCTGTTATTCAACACAGAGCTCCCTGTACATCTTATTGTAAGTAGTAATATGCAGTGACTATGGCAAAAAAGTTATAAAAATGATGGGATTTTTTTTGTCTAGGCTAAAAGAGAGCTTAGAGGCTGGTTGTAAAACTCCTTGGCTTGCTTAGGAAACTCCATTTAAAACTCTTGGCGCTGTCCAGGTGTTGTCTGCAATGCCTGGGTCATACCATTGTTGATAAGCAAGTGGCAACCTGTTTCTTAGCCATTGTCTGTAATTAATTTATGGCATCTTTTTCAAAAAGGTGGTTGTCATAGATGAATCTATAGATGTGGGAGGTGAGAAAAAAGTCCTTAATGTAGTTTTGTCGCAGGTGTGCACAGGTAACCAGGTTCTTGGTGGTTGTGAACAAAGAATTGGACAAGTAAAGGGAAGCAAGCAAGATTTATTGAGCACAGTATGCTCTACAGAATATCGAAGCAAGCCAGTCCTCAGAACATAGAAATGCCTCCTGTTGCCTGAGGGGTCGTAATTTTATAAGGCTTTTTACTTCCCTATTCTTAATGTACTTTTTCCTGAATATGCATTAGAAGTTATATAGTTTTTCTGCTATGGTGCATGCGATTACCCATAGTTCTTCCGGACTGACCACTCTGGGGGTCAAACCACAGTGCTAATTTATTACAATCAGATTATGTTAATGCTAACATGGACTATAGATTGTTTAGGATCAAAGTGTGGAGGCCCGGCTGTGGTCTTAAGTATTACTATGCTATTACAGGACTATTTCCAGAGTTCAGGATGTTGATAAGTGTCAATGTCAGCTGCTTACTTTGATGCCAGCCTCCCAGGACTTCCTCATTTTGGTTTTATCTACTCTCTCCAGGTCTTCTGCCTCAAGTCCAGCTACTTGAGGGGAGTAAAGTAACTATTTCAGGAGCTCAGGCTGTCTGGCTGAGGGAGTCTGGCTTAGCTTCTTTTAGCCTATCTTGCATTTGCTGTGGATGCCTTTGGAACTTCCTCATTTCTCTCTGCTTTTTGGAAACTGGAGAGTGATTCCAACTACTTAGTTTTCACTCAGTTCCCAAGTACTTTCTCCCTGAAACCTTTCCTGCCTTCCCCCTGCCCTGTCTGGATTAAAGGAAATATTCTGTGATAACTTATCACAGTTTATATTTCTCCCACTAGATGGATAGATCCATTATATAAATTTCAAAGCATATACTGTGGTTGTGGCCATCTATAATATTAACTGATAAAATTTATTAATAAAAGCAGAACTGGTAGTGGACCTCTTTGGATAATGTACTTTGTGAGGAGACACATGGCATTTAAATATTATTCAGTATTATTAAAATGTAATAATTATTAAAATGTAACTTTTGCAGGGCAGAGAGAGTTCATAGTCTTATGAGTACATTATTTAGAAATTTTCATTTAAACACAGTGGATTAAACAAACATGTTTGCATCCAACACTTCCTAAAACCTCACTAAAATAAAGGGGTAAAGGACAAAAATTCACAATAGATAATAAAAGAGGAGACAAAAGTGATGTCACTAAGAGTTTGGAGGTTATAAAGTAGATAAGTGGCAGCTGGTGCAGCATTTTGGCGAGAGCTGAAAGCCCAAGTGCTGCAGTGGGTGAGGGCAAGACGCAAACTGATTGGAGTGCTAGGGCTCCGGAACGGCTCAGGGGTCAGCAGTGCTGGGAAGCTCTGAAGTCAGGGACGTGAGCAGGCTGGAAACCATGAAGATTGGCTGAAAGTCTGCATTAGAAGCAGTTAGACCCCTAGGTCCCTTTCTCTACCTTGTGCATCATGACAGCCACCTCCTCCCCACCCCGGCAGGAGCTGGGAGACATTGAAGAAGAGGCACTCAGGCACCAGGCACAGCTCAGGTGGGGTGATGAGCTGTGTTGAAAAGGATGCAGGGGCACACACAGTCCTCATATTGAACAGCGAACCGCTGCCTCTAACCCCCTTCACTGTTCAGCTGGGAGCATGCCGGAACTAGGATTTTATCCTGTTTGCACTGGGGTGGGGGAAATATTGGAAGGTTCATCTTTAGGGAAAAGCCAGAAGAAAAAACCTACTATAGCAGTGGTTGGGAGTACAGGTTTCCTGTCTGTTTACCTTAGAATAGAGATCTTCAACCTTTTTCATCTGATGGCAAACATAAACTAATTACTAAAATTCTGTGGCATCCCCCAAAATATGTATTTTTGCCAATCTGACAAAAAAATAGGTATAATTGTGTTTCATTACACCAGAGAACTATTGTTGTGTTGGCTGTTGTCATTTTTAAATTTGACAATCTAAGGGAAAAGAGGTCAGTGCCCCTGCCTAAATAGTCAGGAATTGCATGTTTTGAATATTTTTGCTGCACACTGGTTGAAAATCGCAGCCTTTGAGAAAAGCCCCCAAGATGATAAGCAGCCCCAGACTACACATAGACCCTTTAATTAGCTGTTATTATAATTCTTCACTTTTAAATAGAGACAGATAGATAAAGATCACAAGATATTTGAGGAAAGCCTCTACCATGAAAGTCAGAGGTCAAAGCAAATGGCATGGGGTTGGTAGGGAGAAGGAAGAAAAAGTAACGAAACTCAGAAAAAAACAGATAACAGGAAGTGGGGAAAAATGGCTAAGAAATGATAATTAATATTCTCAGAGATAAGAGAAGCTATTTCTTTCTTGAAATAGGAATAAGATGACTAAAAAGGAACGTTTCAAGAAATAGCTCTTGAAAATTTAAAATATGACCTCAGAAATTAAAAGCTCAGTAAAAATGTTTGAAAATGAGTTAATGTGAAATTTTTCAAAGTAGAATCTAAAGACAAAATGATGCACAAATAGAGTAGAAGAGGTGAGAATGGTCCTACATACAAATAAGATAAGTTGCAGGGAGATAAAACATAAGAAAGAGGGGAGAAACCATTGAAGAAATATTCCAGACTGAGTTTCTAAGAACAAAGGGGCTTAACCAGGGCTTAGCAAAACAGATGAAAATAGAGCTTCATGAGGGCCTGTTAATAGTGAAATTTCAGAGAACTGGGGAAAAGAAGATCCAAAAAGTTTCAGGAACAAAAAAACAAAAGATCACACACAAAGTCTTGGGAATCAGAAAGGCTTTCGATTTTTCGGTAGCTATACTAGAAGTGAAAAGACCATGCAACCATGCCTTCAAAGCTGAAAATTATTATCAGCCTAGAATTCTGTACTCAGCCAAAATAGAATCAAGTGTTTGAATAGAATGCGGTCATTTATCAGACATGCAAGCTCTCAAAAAATTTACCTCCTCTTCATCCACTCTCAGGAAGTTACTGGAGTATGTATTCTACTCCATACATAAGAAATAAGGAAGTAAACCAAGAAAGAGGAATATTTAGGATCTAGGGAACTGGGGATGCATTGTAACATAGAGGGGAAGGGAACCCATAGACTAACAGCTGAGTTGCAGGCTGAGAAGGAAGCCGGTCCTGAGTGCAGTGTGGAAGGCGGACGTCAGGTGGAATGTTTCCACAAGGGAGACAGAGACTGAGACAGATTATTTGATATGTGTGAACATGTTGAGAGGAGGTGAAGAGTGTTGGAGACTGTGGAGTTGAGTGAGTTAAGACAAATGACTGCCTTTAAAAGTTTTAACTTCAGGAAACACTGAGTAATAAGAGGAGGAAATGCGAGGATAGCACCGTGTGTCATTTAGCTGCAGGGCTGATACTCAGCCAGTGCGGCCATATGGTTGTTGAGATACTAATATTTATATACTGATGGGTAACCGACTACTTGCTGGAGTGCCCTCCCTGTTGCCCTGTTCCATCGCTTAGGCCCCAGCCACCTCCCCTCCAGTCCCACCTGCAAATCCATCATTAAAAGGCTAGCAATCAGCGTGATAGGCGTGTGGAGGGTCCTACTCACACCGTGGCCTCTGTGCTGATTGGTTGGTGTACTAATGAAATATTTGAAGACTACCTTTACTTAGTTGTGAATACTATGTATTTACATAATAATAATAATAATAATAAAAATATTGATTTCCTAAAGTTATAACGATGCAGGGAGGAAATGTGGGGCGGGGGGAAGGAAGGAAGTGTAGTAGAGCTAAATTCTACACAGTAGGGCAATCTATAGGTAATATCTGAAGCTGGAGAAAAAATTAAAGCTGTACAAACAACTGAGAACTACAGAAAAAATAGCTAAAATTATATATAAAAGTGGTTCTTTTGGGGAAGTAGAAATGGGTATGTGTTGGAGGTGTGGTATAGGGGTTGCTGTTTTTCATTACATGCCTTATAAAGCTGAAGTTTTTAAAAATTCTGAATATCTATTACACCAAGGAAAAAATTAATTTAAATAGAACATTATTTAAAAAAACAACTTTAATCTTCTAAACAACTTGATTTTCTTTTCCTCCAGTGGCAATATGATCATCTGACAGCGACCTATCTTCTGCTTCTAGCCAAGAAGGCTCGGGGAAAACCAGTTCGTTTAAGGCTTCCTTCTTTTTCCTGTGGACAAGCCAGTGGCACCCCATTCACAAACATTGAGGTAAATGTTAAGATACTTTTGTGAACACCCACTGCTTTTGCCACGTGTCTGCCGTGTTCGTGGTGGATACACCCTGGGAAAGTTAACTTTGCTGGTGTCAAGGGCCAGAGGCAGGATATTTAATATACTTTTGATGGGAAAATAGCAGATTCTAAACTTGAATTGTAAAATTTTGAATATTAACATGGCACTTTTAGAAAATTCTCCCTTCCCCTATATTTTAATAAAGTATTTCCTGATTGTTGTAGAAAAATTTTAAGCCACAGGTAAGCTAAAGGAAACTAGAGTTTACTTATGAACTGACTACCTATAGATAATATAGTTTATATTTGAGTGTGTCCTTGGGGTCTATTTTTAGTGTGTTTATTTATATAACTTATGCACATGTAAGTGCTTTTAAAGGACACAGTATTCCTAAATTGTAGATAAATTTAAAAATTGTCGGGAGTGAGACCTGTGAATACAAGACATATACTTTATAGGACATGAAATATTTCAATGACTATTTTAATACCCATTCATATTAAGGGTTTAGGTTTTTGTTTGTTTAGCAGTAGCAATAGTTCATGCAACTCATGCTTTGTATTAGTTGTAACCAAATTATTTTTTCTATTTTGTTGTCTCTGTCCCATTTTCCTTTGTCATGAACATTTAGAATGGCAGAGAAGCTTTGTGTATTGGGTTGGCCAAAAAGCCTTTAGTTTTTTTTGTAAAATTAAAGACGTTTTTCATTTTCACCAATAACTTTATTGATTTGGCTATTTTCAGTATGTTAGCTATCTCCTGCGTGATACAATGTTGATTGTTCTCAACGTCTTGATTTCATTGCTGTCAGCTTCAGCTGGCCCACCCGACTACACAGCATTGTCCAGTGAGAAAGCTCCAGCATGAAACTTCTCAAACCACTTTTGACACATATGATCAGTCACAGCATCTTCTCTACACACTGCACAAATCTTTTTGTGTGTGTTTCAGTTGCTTTTTCACCTTTCTTGAAATAATAAAGCATAATATGCTGAAAATGTTGCGTATTTCTTCCATTTTCAGTATTAAAGTGGCTACACAAAAATTCAGTTTTGACAAGTTTTTTAAAAAATGTATGCTGATATAACAACTGTCACAATACAATCTAACAAAATTGTTGTGAATGAAGTTCAAGACAACCAAGCGCTACTAGAGCCATCTTAGGGAAAAAACAAAACGAACTTTGTGGCCAGCCCAGTATTTGGAAGCACCATGTCATTCCTAAGTGCTCCCATTAGTCTCAGTTTTCTGTTCAAACCTTTGTATCTCCCATGGCTTATGATTCTGCCTTCCAAATACTTTGCCTAATGGGTGTGGAACTTTGTAATATGATCTCTCAGATTAATTCAGGTTGTAGTTTAAATGACTTAGCACTAAGAAGCTGTACTTCTATTTTCTCGGAGAGATGGTTGGCCCTCTTTATGGAATCTAGTATAGCCTAGATGGTTATGTGGGTAAGGTGACTTTTTTTCCCTTTAGGTCTCAAAAATGCTGTTGTAAAAAACGTTAAAATGCAGGCCCCTCTTTTATGGTCTTTTACTGAAGTCCCTTTAACACTTCATTTAGCGCTCTCTTTGTGTCACTTGTCAACAATGTGCTGCAGATGTAGTGGGCCTGACCTAACTTGTCTCCCTTCTTCCCTCCCCGGTTGGTCTTTGACCAAACTAAGAACTAAAAGCTGTCAGTACAAGTGGTCTATTGTGAAGAAATCTCTGAAGTGAGATAATCTTATCCTTGTGGTTTTCTGGTCTGTTCTGGGGAGTGTTGGCGGGCTGGTGAATGCCCGGCGCTCAGGCTGATCTTTATCTTTGCGCTCAGTGACCAGCCCATGGGCCATCCTGCCTGCGTCACCAAACCCTTCAAACTCTCAGACCCAAGGTAACGCCTTGGGATACAGAAGCACTTGAAAGTATGAGTTTTGCTTCTGATCAAAGTCCTCTGAAAAAGGGATTAGATACCTATGTACTTAGAATAAATGCTTCAGCTAAAGTTTTAAATTCATGATACCTTAGTTAAGAGGTCAGACATTTTCCTAAGCCATTGGATTTTCTTATGTCTGGGCGGGCCTGCTCTCAGTTCATGTGCTTTTGAGTGGTACAGAGCTGGAAAGGTATTTACTCTTAACTTCCATCTAATGGGCATTTACCCAATAATTTAATTACTTGAGCATTCATGTTATTCAGTCAGTTGAAACAGATATATTCTGTTGACAGTGACTGACCTGTTTAGCTAGAAGGGTAGGTGAGAGATTATAGGGAACCTTGACATCCCTTATGAGAGGGGTGAGACTTTATAGTCTGGGTAATGGGAGCCGTGGACTTTTGTGTAAGACATAACGTAATTTCAAATAATTAATCCAGGGGTATATCGAATTCTTTTTTCGGGGATGTGTGTTGCTGTTACTCTCCCTTCTGTAGTACCCATGACAGCCGTCAGTCACCACCGTTTCCCACTGAACCTAGACTTAGCTTTCGTGTTTTCCTCAGCCTAGCACTCCATGTAGCTAGGCCTCGCAGACGGTAATTGGCAGCCCTGGAGGACTCTGTCATTCCCAGTTGAGAGGGCGGGAAGACTGGTGGCAGAGACCATATTGTCTGTTTGGATAGTTCCGGTCTGAGAAGATTTGTCCTTGAATTAGGACAGTGACAGTGGGACTGGAAACGAAAGGACGGGGTGTAAGAAATTGAAGTAAAATTGCCTGGTCAGGTTAACCAGGTGTCGAGGGAAAGGGAAGGAGGGGAAAATTAAAAAATCCAATTATGCTCTATTGTCTTAGAATTTAGGGTGAATTTGGTATATAACCTTATTTTATAGAGAGGAAGAACAAGGGAAACTACATGACTCTGGTGGTATTATTAGCTCTGGGCCTCACATATCTTGCCCCCAGGACAACTTTCATAAGGCTAATTTGTTCTTAATAAAAATTGCCAACTACTCTGTGTGTTCTTACAGCTAAGAAACCTGTATTTCAAAGTTGTTTCTTTTCCATCTTCAACTTTGTCAGAGCTTTTTATTTGTAGATTTGCAAAGGGATTGTCTGGCATTAATGATTATCTGATAATGATATGCTAAGTAGTATGCCATAAACATAGAATGTTCCAAAACATATTGTTTGAGAATCAGAGATTCTCTCATGTAATAATCTGAATTGAAATTTTTTGACTTCTCGTTTTCTCTACTGAATGGTAAGCTCCTTTGTTATACTCTCTTTTTATCTGCTTCCAGGGCCTTGCCCTCTGCTGGAAATATACAATTTTAAAAATTGAATCTTGATGCTTCTCTTTTTGAATAGTCAAAGAACCTGAGTCTAGAAGATGTGGCCACAAGTGATGAAAATTATGTGGCTGGATTAATAGACTATGAATGGTGCGAGGACAATTTATCAACAGGTGTGACTACTCCCCAAACACCACAGGTTGGTTAATTTTATTACTGTTTAAAACAGGATATATTGTATCAATTATAAAAACATCTCCGTTCTAACATGCGATCTAGTATGTGCTTGCAAACTTAATGAATTCCTAAACCATTGAAAACATTAATGAGAGATTCTTGGACTATTAATGAAAGGGATGCCAATTATTTCCAAGTTGAAGGAAGCCAAGATTGTATTTTGAAACACTTTACTGCTTCTCGTCTCTCTTTTTTTTAAAAAAATGAGGTATAATTTACATGTAGTTAAGTAGCTAAATACACTATTTTAGTGTCAATTCTGTTTTGACAAATGCCTACAGTCCTGTAACCACCACCAAAATCAAGGACAGTTCTGTGGCCCCCAAAACTCCTCATGCCCCTTCGTCGTCCGCTCCCTCTCTCTGCCAGCTCAGAGCAGCAACTATCTGTTTTCCTCTTCTTTTAAAAACCTTTTTATCCACTTGGAGTTTGTTGATCTTCTTGGGTGCATAGTTAGTATTTTCTCCGCTTTGAGGAGGCCGCGCGGAGTGCACTCCTTCCCCCGGCAGTGAAACGCAGGAGCAGGGGCGCCTGTCTCTGCGCAGGGGCGCTGCCCGGAGACCCCACCGCCAGAGTTTTTCCTGGGCGCTGGCTCCAGGCACTCCTTGTCTGTGTGATCAGTCACAAACATAGAATTCGAGGCTTCCAGAAGGAAAGCAGGAGTTCGCCATTCATCACGCTTTTTGTACAGTCTGTACCCATGGGTACAGCAGGGTTCAGCGCCACAGCCATACAAACAGACTCAGTGGTGGGGACTTTTTAAAAACTGAGTTCCTAAACTCCAGCCAGAACCTGCCACATTAACTCTTGTGTACAGCAAGGCCCCTGTTACGAGTATGTGGGAGTTCTATAGGGTGTCTACTTAGAAGTGGAATGAGAATCTTCAGCCTTACCAGATAATGCCGGTTTTTTCCCCCAAAGTGGTTTATTAATGAAACTTCGACCATACATAGAAGTATTGCTCCACAAATTTATCAATATTTGGTATTTTTAGCTTTTAGTATTTTCTAATGGTGGGGGTGTAAAGTGATATCTCACTGTGGTTTTAGTTTGTACTTTTCTGCTTATTGATGCATCTTCTTATTTATTAATTGACCAATGATGTTTTCTGGTCTATGAAATTGTTATTCACATGCTTTGCCCATTTTTCTATTAGATTGTTTCTTTTTTGCTTATTGTATCAAAGTTCCTAATTTAATCTTAATTCTCATTCTTTCTTGGTTATGTGTTGTAGATATATTATCCAAGTTTGTCACTTGTCCTCTTTGATGACAGATGTCATTAATTTTAATGAGTTTGAAGTTGTCATAATTTTCTGTTATGTTTTGTAATTTTTGTGTCTTTTTTGCTTCTAAAAGTTTTAAAGCTTTTTTTTTCACATTTAAGTCTTTAATCTGTTCGGCATTCCTCTGCTTGGTGTGAGGTAAGGAATCAATATTTCCCTCATATAATCAGTTGTACCAGTACCATTCAAAAGTCCACTTTTCCCCACTGATCTACAAACATACTTCTATGATGTATCAAGTTGTTATATGAGTATGCCTGTTTCTGGTCTGTATTTTATTTTATTGGTTTATTTGCACCAATAGCACACATCTTAATTACTTTAATTTTATATTAGTTCTTCTATCTGCTTGGCTAATTTTCACTCATTCTTCCTTAGGCCAATTTCTTCTTATTCTCGCCTCTTTGCATTCCCGTGTACATTTTAGAATCATCTTGACAAATTTCACATACTCAAAAGTCAAAATTACATTGAATTTAAGATTCAAATTGGGAAAAATTACAACGTAGACCCTTAAATCCCTATCCATAAAATAGTACACCCCTCCATTTATTTGGTTTTAGTTAATTGCTTTTAATAAAGCTTTCTAAACTTCTCCAAAAAGATCTTACATATTTTATTAGATTTATTTCTAGGTACTTTTATTTTTTATTACTATTGGGAATGGTACGTTCTTAAAAATCACATTTTCCTAACCCTCCAGTATTGATTTATAGATATGAAATTAATTTTTGTGTCTTGATCTGATATTCAACAACTTTTCTAAACTTTTTTTAATTCTTATAACTTGTATATTTTTTTGAGTGCTCTACATAGAGAATTATATCATCTATGGATGACAGTTTTGTTTCTTCCAGTTCCTATGCCTTTAGTAGTTTTTTCTTTTATTATTACGTTGGCCAAAAAGTCTATTATAGTTTTTTCCCATAAAATAAAAGACACAGTTTTCATTTTCACCAATAACTTTATTGATTTGGTTATTTTGAATATGTCAGCTGTCTCCCACATGGTATAACATTGATTGTTCTCAATTAATGTCTTGATTTGATTGCTATCAAACTTCAGCTGGTCTACCTGACCATGGAGCATTGTCAGCGAGAAGTTTCCAGCATGCAATTTCATAAACTTTTTGACACATCAATCAGTCACAGCACCTTCCCTATACACTGCACAAATCTTTTTTTCTTTTTTTTGCATTTTTTACCTTTCTTGAAATAATAAAAGCATAATATGCTGAAAATTTTGCGTATTTTCTTCCATCTTCTACATTAAAATGGCTACACAAAAATTCCTCAATTTTGATAAGTTTTTTTTAAATACACGCCGCTATGACAGCCGCCGCAATACAGTCTATAAAATTGTTTTGAATGAAGTTAAAGACAACTAAGCGCTACTATAGCCATTTCATTGAAAAGAAATTAAACGAACTTTTGTCCAACTCAATACTACATTCAGTAGTCCGAGCAAGATAACAGACATTCTGTGTTCTTCCCAATTATTAAAAAAAGGCTCCGTGGGAATACTTTGAGGTTGAGAGCTTGGGTTGTGTTAGACTGAAGCTTTTCAATAGGAATTGTGTTTGCTTCTACCATGGAATACAGCCACTTCAGGACTACTTTAAATTAAATTCTAGGCTTGTGATTTTGGGGACCATGCACATAGTATGAATTTGGGCCCAAGGCTATATGAAGACTGTCCTATGGTTACTTACAAACTGTTAAAGGAGACTTATTTTTCCTTCTCCAGAGCTAAGGCCAAGATAGACACATTTTCTTGCCGACTCCTCTGCAGGGCAGATTTACATTTAATTCACTTTTTCAATTTTAGTTATAGCCTCTCCTGGCTTTTCTTGGGAGCTTTGGATCTAACTTACCACCTGGCATAGGTCTAAGGCTTCTGTGGTGTTAAAAACTATGCTGTCGGGCAGGGGCGCTCAACCCTAAGGCTGTGGACCAGTATCGGACAGGCTTGTGGCCTTGTAGGAACCGGGTTGTGAGGGAGACTCACCTGAACTCTGACTCCTGTCCCCCACCGACCTTGGAAAAGCCCAGTCCCTGGAGCCAGAAGGTTGGGGGCCGCTGCTGCAGGGTATCCAGGCTAGTAGGTAGATGCCCTTAGGGCCGTGGGCAGGCTCATCCTTGGTTACATTTCTGGATTCATGCTCCTGTTTTTAATTTGACCTCTGAGGACTTTCCTTACTATTTTGCAAGCTTGCCCATAAATTCAAAAGGATTAAGAAATTTTTTTCTATTCCACATTTTTGTAAGAGTATTTTAACAGGGTCTTTCTGTCCTAATTATTGATTAAACTTCTATTTTTTGTTACATATTACATAGTAAGAGACAAACCATGGAAATCGAGGCACAGGAAGCAATTTTTAGGGATTTATGTGGGGCCATTCTCAATATTGCCTAGGTAGGGACCTGGGTATGTTTGTGTAAAAACTTGGCCTGAAACATGTTGAAAATTACCTGTTAATAGAACAGACTAAAGTGATCTACATGTACTAAAGAAAACGTAATGTACATTTTCAAGTTTCTTGGTATTGCCAATAATATCCTTTTGATAGTATTCATTTTAGTAAAAATTGAACAAGGTAATTTTTAAGTGATTAAAGTATGTTGTAGAGAAATTGACTTTTCTTCTTCAGTGTGCTTTATCCAGTGACTTTTTTTTTTTCTAGTTTGCCAAGCATTGGACAGAATCAAATTGTCTGGACTCTCAATCATTAACTCCAGGTTTATGCAGAGCATCTGCCAATAAATTAAAGAACAAAGAGAATATATATACTCCTAAGTCCTCTGTAAAGAATGAAGAGTGCTTTGTACTTCCAGAGCCAAAGACTCCAGTTAATAAGAACCAGCATAAAAGAGAAATACTCACTACACCAAATCATTACACTACACCCTCAAAAGGTATTTGCTGAAACACTTTCAAAGTCCTTTCTTCTTACCATGCTAAATAAATGTATGGCAGGTCAGAAATGACTAGCATTGCTCTTAGGAATTTCTAGGAGAAGTCAGCCTGCTTTTTTAATTATGTTATTTGCATTAGCTGAAATGAATGCATATTGGTCAACTTCTAATTTTTCTCAAATGATAATAAAATGTTCATATATATATATATATATATATATATATATATATATATATATATAAAGTTAAATCATAGCATCATAGAATATCAAAGCTGAAAGGCAAGTTGGAGCTCATTTAATCGACCTGCCTGTTCCACAGCTGAGGAGCCTGAGATTCAGAGGGGCGAAGTGATTTGCCCAAGGGCAGCCAGGTTTAGGTTTTGCTTGCCCCTTTGCTCCTGCTTACAAAGACTAAACTGAAGTCTCTGCTGAACCCTTCTTACTCATCTGGATCTCCACTCCTGGTGTCCGATCTGCTCTGCCTTGTTGTACTGCCTCCCCAACTCCAGCAGACTGGGTAAATCCGTGATGCCTTCCACATGTCTGTGTCCAGACATTGCAACCCTCATTTCCCTTAGTTTCTTCTCTTCAGCTTAATCATCACCAATTATTTAAGCTGTTTCCTTTATGACACCTCAGTGTTTTGATTGATGGCCTCATCTAAACTATTCTGTTTTGCTAGTGTGCCTTTTAAAACAGTGCCTAGAGCAGAACCCGGTCTTCTTGTACTGAGTCTCACCAGGATTAGATAGGAAGTGTCAGGAGAGGGGAGACTCTGTCTGCTGTCTTTATGGCAACATGACACAGTACATAGGAGGGGCTGTGTTCGCTGTCTGCTACATAGCAGGTACCCAGTGCCTGGTGTACAATGCGGGCTGTATCTGTTGAATGAAGGAATGAATAAATTGGAGCCTGAAGGGATTCCATTGACTGTAATCTAGTCTATGTCACCTTCTAAAACGATACCTAAACTTTATTAGCCTTTTTCCAGCAATTGTGACCTAGTCTTGTTATGTTGAGATGAACCCAAACTCTTAAAACATTGCCATGTGAACTGCTGCCGAGCCACATCCTGCCATTGTGCTTCCAGTTTGCTAAGGGGGCGGATAGCCAGTTGCAGAGGTCTACTTCTTACATGTAAAGATATGAAAAACGGTTGGAATATTCTCTGGAAGTCCTGTTAATTGCATTCTCTAGTTCATCAACTTAAGCAACACTTTCCCCCAAATTGCAAGGCTAGTGTGATGTGATCATGATGATGATGATGATTGTGTGTGTGTGCGTGTATCTGCCTGTGGTTATGAATTTTCAGTGAGATAACATTTGCACAAAGTAGGACTTCAGTAGTATTTGCTCTTGCGTCTTTTCCCAGTGTGTGTGGTGGGGTCTCTTTCTCTTCTGTCATTTCTCTTAATAGAGGCACAGCATTCTTTGTGAGGGGGGTTGGGCAGGGAGGTAAGATAGACCTTCAGCTCATTCAGGGCTTTTTTAAAAAAAAGAGCCTTTGATGCTTAAGGTCCCTTCTATTTAATTGATATTTTCTGCTTTTTATGCATTTCTGAAGGTTTTATAATATGGATGGTTAAGAATTTATAATCTTAAAGGGCCATCAGTTTACATATCATGTCCCTGTGAGAAGGATTTATGTTGGTCAAAATCTATTATTAGCTGTTTTTCTTTAAACATACGAGATGCCTGTGAGAGCAAGTGTCTGAAGCCCCGATTGATAGTTTCCATTAGTGGTTTGCATTTGACTTTTGCTCTGAGTCAGTTGTGACATAAACATTAATTTCATTTTTCTGAATCCTGTATAATCCAGTGACAATTTGTGGAAGGATAACTATGTATGGTAGTAGATACTGTCAGTATACAAAGATGAAAACCTTTTTGATAAATGTTGTTTGATCTTACTTTTTTGTTCTGGTAGAACCAGTGAGAATAGTGCTGAATAGTTATAAACAAAACAAAATCTCTAATCTCTTTTTAAAAACTTGATGTCACATATTATAAAGTGAATATTATCTCTAAAAGGATACAACTTTTAGATTATAAGCAAAAAAGTTAACTGATCACTGAAACCAGATTTATTAATGCAAATTTGTCACAGACTATCTGGGATACAAATACCCCCTAGAATAAAACACAGAATTCTGGAATAGGGGCCAAAATAACCAAATAGCCAAAAATAATTGAAGCTCATTCCTTTTAGGTATCTTCTGTCAAGCTTTCACAGGGGACTGTTCTCTTTGCCTAACAGGTTGAATAGAGCTGTGAATTGAATTAACACCTCTCAGTACTGTATCAACTAAAGACATAAATTGGGTCCTTGTATAAATAGATATTGACTTTTATTTGTACAAAGGAGAATCATTAATCACAACATTTGTATTTATGTGATCTATTTAGATCTGTCATATGATATTTATAATAAAATCATATCATGGCTTCAGTTTTGCTGTGAAGAAAAAGAGAGCCACACATGCAAAGCAAAATCATTTTGCTTTTTATTATAAATCACACAGAAACATTTATTTAAAGAATTACAGCCTTAGCATCACTGGTGAAGTGCTTACAATATTTCAGTCAGTGAATGAGGTGATATATGCATTATTGATAGAAATTTTGAAACCATAGTATGTCAACTACATATGGTTTGTGTTTTTTCTTTTTCTACTAGTCAGAAACCAGCGCCCAAAGGAAACCCCAACTAAAACGCCAGTAAATTCTGCAGGAACAGGTGTCATTAGCCCTGAGAGGCGGTAAGTATTCTGTTTTTAGACTCTTGGATCTTTAGTATATGTAACCAGATTTCCTTTTTTCATAGATGATAACCCCCATGAAGGCAAACCATCATGTAGATTCTGTCTGAGGCTAGGAATGCGTGTATGGGGATGGTCGTTGGCCATCACCAGAGCTGTTGCCACTGCCTCCCTCAGGGGGGTAAAATTGTGGATGTTACCAGCAGAAGGACGGGCACCTGAACCTAAAATACAGGAGGCTGGGAAGTCAGTAGTCTTGGCCTCAGCCACATAGTTGTTTTTCCTCTGAGGCCCGTTTTGCACTATATTTTGCCAGTAGAGCACAGACACCCATTAACAGGTAGCAGTTGCTCATAATAGTAAAGATGTTAAGGGATGTTTCAAAGAAAACCCATTCTTATATGAATGACTGCAGTGTAGACGGCCTTTCATGGTCTTTTCTAGTTATTTTTTTAAGCAGGATCCATTTGGAGGACAATTGAGGGAAGTAGAATGCGACCTAGGTATTAGATGATACTATGACATTATTTTTTTAATGTCATAATGATATTCTGGTTATGTAGGAAAATGTCCTTATTTATTGGTAATGTTTGCTGAAGTGTTTCAGAGCGAAGTATCATATCTTCATGTGGGTTAATTTCAGGTGGCTCAGAAAAGGTGTTCATATATTTCATGTATTTATTATATATAAAGAGAGAGAGAGCAAATGTGGCAACATATTAACAATTGTTCGTGGTACTATTTGTTTGACTTTTCTGTATACTCAACATTAAAAAAGAAAAGAGAAAATCAGTTTGGCCCAGGGGCATTTGGTGGAGGGGAGGAGCGGTGGCTGCATTCCCGTGGAAGGCGACTTCTGAGCTCCCTGAGGAAGGAGATGGGCCGGCGCTGGGCCCCCGAATGAGGAACACCTGCCAACAGGACCAAGGCACGGCCGGCCGCGAGGGCCCCGGCGGGCAGGACTCCTAGCTCTACTCGTGGGTTTTTCTCTTTTTTTTTAAGGTGTCGCTCAGTGGAACTGGATATCAACCAAGCACATGTAGAGGACACTCCCAAAAGAAAAGGAACCAAAGTGTTCGGCAGCCTGGAAAGGGGATTGGATAAGGTTATCACTGCGCTCAGCAGGAGCAAAAGGAAGGGCTCTACCAAAGGTGGGCCAAGAAGACTAAAGGTAAGTGGACTAGAAATGTTTAATGTGGGTTTTAGACGGTGACTGCTAACTGGACTGCTTTTTATTTTTTAAAGAAAAGTACTGAATGAATGGATTGATTAGTATTTTTTATTCATTCATTCATTCATTCATTCATTTAGCATTTAGTTAATATTTTCGAGCACCTAAAATACAGGTGTTACTTTGCAATGGGCTTTGAGAATGCAGAGGTGAATTAGATACGGCTGCTCTTTTCAAGGAACAATCAGCTATAATTCAAACGTTCAAGCTTGGGCGGAGGGATTAATCACAGAGGCAACGCGGAGGTGCGGAAGCATGGGGCAAATAGGAAGAGCTGCCATAAGGGCCCCTTTAGATCCGGACTTGAGCTCAGTTGTCCTATCTCTGGCACATAGAAGAGTCCCTGACACATGGATACCCTTGTAGGTTCTCACGAAATATTTGAGTGCATGGGAAGTTAATTTGACCATTGAGCGTGATGTATGTGAAGGAAATAGTGAGCCACAGGCCGGGAAGGAGGACTGGCTAAGAGGTCTGGACCTCCCTTGATAGACTTGCTTTAAAAGGTTGAATGTGTCAGTGCTGTGCACGCGATCTTTGGTGGGAAAAGAAGAGAAAAAGAAGTTATTACTAGGTATAAAATACTTCTTCCTCTTTTGGATTTTCTCTGAGCTGTTGTTCAGACATCTAGTGAATGACATTTCGGTTTGGAGAGGCACATAAGAGGTAAGGGGTGACTGACATAGCCGTGGCCTGAGGGACCCACAGGGCGGCCGTGGAGACAGACAGGGGTTTTGTTGCTCTGACACAGCTCAGCGCTGGAATGAAACGTGCTCCAGAAGCAGGGGTCCGCCGGAGGGAGGAGAAGGTGGTAGTGGGATTTGGGGACTGGGTCTGTGTTGGTGTTTAGTTTTTACACTGCGAGTCTCATTTTGAGGAGGTCTGGGTAGGTTTGGGGGAAGGAGAGTGCCGAGCGGTTGGCAGAGGGGCGCTTCGGGGGGAGTGTTCTGCGATCTCATGTGGATTCTGTCTTAAGAAGAGAGGACTTACTCATTAGTATTTGTTGCCTTGTTGAACTTATATAATACACTGAGAAGTTTTATGTTACATATGGCTACTTGTTAGGCATATTTTATCTTTTTATTCTGAGATTTCTCTAGTTGGAAACAGTTGTAAATCTAGTTGGAAACAGTTTTCTTAATCCCCTGACATGGGGATTAAGAAAACCATAGTTCCATTTCCCTGAAAAATGTTAAATAAGGAATATTAAGGAAATTTGTCTGATTATGTATGTTATGAGAAGGTAAGCAGTTGTCAGATACCAATGGGTAAAGTAGGATGAATTATTTTCCAAAAGGAATCACTTCATTGTGATTTGAAAGTGCTCAGTTTATTGTTACCCTGACAGAGCCAGTGTAGTGCGGTGAGAGAGCCCTGGAGTGCCACCCAGAAGACGGAGGGTCCCCTTGTAGCTGTGCCACTTGTTCCTTTTATGACGTAAAGCCGGGGTTCCCGAACTCCAGTCATGTGGCCTTCATCCCAGCATCTCAGCATATCATCTGCCCTGTTACTTATCTGGTTTTTCTGTATTGACTGTCTCTTAAAAAATAGGTTTATAGATGTATAATAGACATATGATAAACTACATATATTAATAATGTATAATTAAAATACTTTTAGCCTTATATATGCACCTATGAAGCCATAACCACCTCAAGGTGACTAACTTTTAAAAGACATATTTATTTAAAAGGAAACTGTATTTCATTTTTGCAAATACATATTTTTAATCAGATTGGGAAAATACATAAATATTAAAATAAAAATATTTATCTGTGTATCAAGAGTTATGTTGTATATCTCTCTCCAGTGACAGTTTATATCACGTTTCGGGAAACCACCCTAAGAAATATGTGTCTCTTCTTTGGCCACAGGTTCTTAATATGACAAGTAAGGTAGTTGGGTCTTTTCCAAGCTCCCTGTTTTGTTATTTATAAAAACTCAAATCTGAAAGACATAGAAAGTATGATTTTTGCTTGAGTGAAGGTACTACTAGGAATGTAGGGATTTCTGTCTTTAGGAACTATTAAAACAGAGTAAGCCATAGAGAATAGTTGTTGAATCAGTGGATGGATGGCTAGATACCAATTAGGAATGAAATTATCTGAGAACTATGCTCTCAGTGAATGAGAAAAAAAAATAACTTGACATTACTTTCTAAAAAGGAATACTTGTTATGTATCTCACATAGAGTTGTCATAGATTCAGCTCCTGGAACTATATTTTCTAAATAATCAAGAAAGAGTTAAAGAAACATATCCAAGTATGTACAAATGAAATTTTCTAGGACATTTGTTTCATCTTCCCACAGTTTACATTTAAGGAGTATTAATGTCTCTAGCATAATGTGGAAAAGGAGAAACAGGTAAAGTTCAAACAAATAGACATTATTTAATATTTATTTCTTTAAAAAGATTGGTAGGAGAGGAAGATGAACGTGTTGAAAGGATAATATGGATACAGTTACTAATAAACATGATTTCTCCAGGCTTTCCCGGTGCCTTCTTAATCCATTTTACCAAGAGTGGTTTGTAAATTCTTTCACTATTTTTCTTGAAATATTTTTGTTTGAAATGGTACTATATTGAGGAATTTTGGATCTCTAAGTCAGGTAGGGTGGTATTTGCGTTGATGTAAAGATTTACTTCTCACTCCTTCTTTTTCTTTTTTTAAGCTTCACTACAATGTCACTACAACCAAACTAGTGAATCCGGATCAACTCTTGAATGAAATAATGTCTGTTCTTCCAAAGAAGCATGTTGATTTTGTGCAAAAGGGGTAAGGGGCACACCAGTAGACTATTGGATTTATTACTTTATATCTTTTGAGCTTTAATAAAACACAGGATTCTTTTCTCCCCTTTTAAAAAAATATTTTTTTCCCACATCATTCCAAAGATTTTTCTGGTAGTGCCATTGTTCATAATTTATTCTCTTCTGTTTTACATGAGTTATAGACCTTTTTTAAGTGCTTATACTGTTACCACTTTAAAGATTGGACTCTCAAAATAGGAAAATCTGAACTTCTTCCAGTTTTCTCTTACATCCTATTTTTCTCTGATGTTCTACTTTGTAACTATATTTATAAGTTGTAACCTAAATTTATGTGACACCTCAAACAAATCAAGGTTTTTACATAGAGTCTCTCTTTATGACTCACTATTCTACGGGATTGTGTTTTCAGCACTTTAGGAAGTCACTTCTCCTAAACTCTCTCCCACTGTTGAGTGAACTGCCCTCAGACCCTCTGAGGCTGTGCTCTCACAGTCTGAACAGCCTGACCTCTCCTGGTCACCGAAGGTGTTCATATTTCCAAGCTTTTCCACTCAGTTATGTCTCTTTAAAATTTTATTATTAATACAGCTAAGAAGAGCCGCTAATAGATTTAACAAAACCATGTAATTATAAATAGAATAGTCAAACTAGAGGTAAGGTTTTAAGAAACAATCTTTTGCAAAAAATAATTTTACTTTTCACTCTCTGTACATGTTGGCAAGCATCCCTTACGTGAACTTAGCCTTTCTTTTTTAGGTGTCACTAGAACGCATCTAACTCATCCTGACCTGCTTGAGATTTAGCCATGGATTCAGAACCTCTAGCCAAGTCTGTATTGTGTGATTTCTATCAGATCGCTGACTGGCTGTTAACCAATAATTTGTTCTTCTGATTTCTTGATCAACTAGAAGGCCTTTGCCTTGATCCTTTTCTTTTTGTCTTCTCTATTTTTAACTTCTTTATTTTTCAGTGGTATTATTATATATCTAATTTTCATTAGATATTGCCAATCTCAATTACAGTCCATTATTGCCTTTTTCTAATCGAGAAGAATTACCTTTTATCTTTTATATAACTAAATTGCTCTATGCTTCATCTTCCCGTCAGGAACCATAACTACAGGGTACTCCTTTATGCATTTTTGATATTGATTGCTTATTTTTAAGAGACAAAGTGCCAAAACACATAAAGTTAGAAAGAAAAATAATGTGAAGCCTGATAATACATAACAGATACAAGTAATATCTTCATACTTCTGAGAAACAGTGCCTAATTGTGTGCCCCTAAATATTAAGGGAACTGAAATTTAAAATTGATCCTGTTGGATATTATTTGTATTTATCAAAGATCAGTAAGACAAGTAAGACTAAAATATAATATAACCTAATTTAAAAACTGATTTACATGAATTCAATTTATGCAGATTTCAGGAACATACACCTATTGCTTACGATGTGTTGAAGGCTTCATTTAGTCTGGGTCTTTTCATTATCAGAGTGGTTAACATGGCAGTTCTAATTAAATATGTTTCAACCACGGGAATGTACCATCTCCTTGGGCTTTCTTTTATAACTCTGCTGTGAAGTGTTGCAATGATCATAACTTATTGCTATTGGAGAAACCTCATAAACACGTGTCCTCCTGAGAGGTTGGTGGCTTCAGCTTTATTTGTGTGAGAGACAGAAGTTTCTGATGAGATGCATGCAAAAAAAATATTCTTAATCTTCGCCGAGCTTTCCTTTGCTGTCAACATTGTGGAAATGGCCTAATGGTCACGGATTACACTGTTGAAAGAGTTGCATGCAGGGATGCCAGAGGCTTTCTTGAGTGTGAATGGCATGTATAGCTATGAAAGAAGGGCTTTTCTTTGGAGCAAGGGAGGATTCTGGTAAAGCCTTTCCATCGTTATTCTTTCTTAAGATCCTAGTTCAGCTTCTGGGAAAACACAGGTCCTAGTCCATCACTAACGCACAGCGAGGTCATTTGGAAACTGTAAGCAGTAATATATTGCTCAATAGGAAATAATGGTTTATTTTCTCCACTAGCCTCCTAGAGGCTTAGAAATCTCTTGTATTATACAGAATATTCATGGTTCTCCCACTAACTGGCTTCTTACCTTGTTTTTCACAGCTATACACTGAAGTGTCAAACACAGTCAGATTTTGGCAAAGTGACAATGCAGTTTGAACTAGAAGTATGCCAGCTTCAAAAACCTGATGTGGTGGGTATCAGGAGGCAGCGGCTTAAGGGTGATGCCTGGGTTTACAAGAGATTAGTGGAAGACATCCTGTCCAGCTGCAAGGTGTGATTGATGGGTGGTTTCCACGCTGCTGGATGGGTGCGGGTGTGGGACAGAGCCTGGTGGGATCGGTTTCATTTTCAGGGTCTGTTGGAACAACAGACTTGTTTCTGAAGAGCTATCTTAATGACCAATATGTTTTTGTTTTTAAACAAAAGATATTATTTTGTGGATGAATCTAAGGCCAGCCCATCTGTCATTATCTGTTCTGTCTTTTTTAATCATGTGGCTTTGTATATTAATAACTGTTGACTTTACTAGATTCACTTCCATATGTGAATGTAAGCTTTTAACTATGTCTCCTTTTAATGTGTAATTTCTTTCTGAAATAAAACCATTTGTGACTATAGCAGGCTTCTTAACTCGTCTTTGTATTTGATTTTGATTCAAATAAAACCTCAAATGGCTTTCTGACTATTAAGTAGAGACTATTTGAAGTATATTTTATCTGTTATCAAATATGCCTTGGGCAGAAAAACAGATAAGAATTCATTTGCATAATTTTTTCCTGTCTCTGATTTAAGTAGGATTTATTGAGATCGTTAACTAAGTCACAGCTGTGGTTACCAGAGTTAAACAACACATTTAATATGTTGAATAAAAGAGTATTGACTTGGGTAAGTGTGTTCGGTCAACAATGATAAGTATCTGAACTGTGAACTTCCATGAAATGTTACTTAATGGTAATTTTTCTTAAGTCTCAATGTTGGCCTCAAGTTTGTATTTTCATCTCATTTTATTGGTCTCTAAAGGCCAGTACTCAAGTTATATTTGTATGGATTTTACCAATTAAACTAGCTGGAGGAAAAATAGCACTCTTTCTAGTCAGTAGTCAGGGAGTGTTTTGTCATTCATTTGCTCAATAAACATTTACTAAGTGCCTCAGAAGCATTAGGTCCTGGCGCTGAAGATGAGACTGTCTAGTAAACTCAGGAATTTAGAGTCTATGAGCAGGGGCAGAAGCATAAGCCAGTGCTTACAGCTCAGAGGGGTGATCAACTTTGCCTTAATGAGAAAGAGATGATTCCTTTGAGGAAACAGAATTTGGTCCTGAAGGCTATATGAGCTCCACAGAAAGAAAAGAGGGTGCATGACATTTTGACAGTAAGAATAGTATGTGCAAAGGCATGAATGATGTGTTTAGGGTGGAGGCAGAAGGTGGTGCAAGGGGGAGATAGCAGAAGATGAGAGGGGTTGAAAGTTTAGCTGGAAATAAATGATGAAGAACTTGAAGGAGCTTGAATGTTCCACAGAACTATTTTGGCAAAGGAGAGCTGTCAAGGGTTTTTAATTTTTCTATAACAGCTTTCTTAAAATATAGTTCACATACCATAAAGTGCACCCCTTTCGTGTGTAATTTGGTGGTGGTTAGGGTATTCACAGTTGTGCAACCATCACCACGATCTAATTCTAGAACATTTTCATCACCTTAAAGAGAAGCCCTGCGCCCCTTAGTGGTCACTCCCCGTTTTTCCACCTTACAGCCCTAGACAACCAATAGTCTCCTTGCCGCCTCGATGGGTTTGACTGTTCTGGACATTTCATATAAATGGAGTCATACACTATATGGCCTGTTGGGTCTAACTTCTTTCATTTAGCATAATGTTTTCAAGATTCATCATGTTGTATCATGTATCAGTTCTTCATTTTATAGCTGAAAAACATTCCATTATATGGATTTTTTAAAACATTTTATTTATCCATTTATCAGTTGATGGGCATTTGGGTTGTTTCCACTCTTGACTATTAAGAATGGTGCTGCTGTGAACATGTGTTTACACATTTTTGTGTGGACCTCTGTTTTCCGTTCCTAGGAGTGGAATTGCTGAGTCATTTTAACATACTGATGAGCTACCAAACTCCTTACCGTTTTATGATCCCACCAGCAATGAAGGTTCTACTTTTTCCACATTCTCCTTAACATTTGTCATTGTCTCTTTTTTCTCATTTAATTATCCTAGTGGGTATCAAGTGGTATCTCATCGTGGTTTTGACTTGCTTTTCCCTTATGACTATCGACGTTGAGCATTTTTTCATGTGCTTATCAGCCATTTATAATCTTTTTCTGGGGAAAAGGGGCAGATTCTTTGCCCATTTTCATTTGGGTTGTTTGTCTTTTTATTATTGAGTTGTAAGAGTTCTATAGTTCTAGATAATGTTTAAGATTTTTATCAAATACGTGATGTGTTAATATTTTCTCTCATTCTATGGGTTGTCTTTTTCCTTTTTTTTCCCAATCCTCACCCAAGGACATTTTTTTTTCATTGCTTTTAGAGAAAGGAAAGGAGAGAGAGAAACATCCATGTGAGAAAGAAGCATCGATCATTTGCCTCCTGTATATGCCTGGACGGGGGCTCAGTGCCCTACCCAGTATTGCAGGCGTCCAGACTGGGAGTTGCATGTGCCTGGGCCGGGGATCAAACCCGTAACCTAGGTGTGTGCCCTGATTGGGAGTCCCACAACCTTTTGGTTACTGGATGGTGCTCCAACCAACGGAGCCACACTGGCCAGGGCTGTTTTTTGTTGTTGTTACTTTTTTGATGGTGTCTTTTGAAGAACAAAAGTTTTTTGTTTTCTAAAGTACAATTTATTTTTATAGAACATAAGGGCGAACTCACTCTTCTATCCCTGTGGCAGATGTTATGGTCTGGAACAGTGATTCTCAGAAACTTTTAACCAGTGAGCCACGGTAAGAAGTTCAACCATTTGAACTTAAGCTAACGATAAAGAGCTTTCAGAAGAACTCCAAGCTGCCTGACAACAGAAAAGGCACTTAGAAATATAGTGGTTTTGTTGTCATTGTACATGTTCAGATGTGTTGGACAACCATTCATGGGATAGATCAAAGAGGGAATTTATGCATAAGCCTTGAACTGAACCATTAGTCCGAGAGCTCCTATCTATCTTAACACCTGTGGTCCAATAACAGTGTGGAAGATAATGTACCAATTATTTGGATATTGGGAGTAGAATGACCCCAGAAGCTTTGGCAACAGCATTTAGGTAATTTTGAATAATTTGGAAGTTGGGAACAATAGAGTGGTTAATGCGTTACAGGAGCAATAGGAGATTATATTTGTTGACTGTGATAGGACGAAACAAAGTAAAGAGCAGCGTAGCTATCAGGTACTGAGCACCCACTAGTACCAGACACTGTACCGGATGATTTATATCGGGGGTCAGCAAACTGTGACCTGTGGGCCATCCTGTAGCCTTTTTGGTAAAGTTGTATCAGCCATGCTTATATTTTCTGTGACTGCTTTTGTGCTGCAGGGACAGAGTTGAGTAGTTTTGACAGAAACTGTGTGGCCTACAAAGCATGAAGTATTTGCTATCATAAAGTATTTACAGAAAAATTTGCTGACCTCTGGTTTAGAGAATTTTTTTCAAATCACTGCAATATGTATTATACATATTAACTCACTTTTTACACTAACTCAGCAAGGTAGGTGGTATCCTTTTTTAACAAAGAAGCTGAGGTTCAAAGTAATGGCTCTCAACGTCATCAAACTCAAAGTGAATTGGATTTGTGAATTTGGAGCCTAGGATATCTAGGCTCCAAAGTCCATGTTCTTGGCTATATTAGAAATAGAGGTAATATGTACCATCCAGGAAAGCATGATTATGTATGATACTTACTCAAAGATTGCTTTTTTATAGCAGCAATCTTATGCAAACTGGTTAAGATACAGGAATACTTTACTAATGCAAACCTTATTATAGTATAGTTTGCTGCAATTGAGTGTGTTATGTGATTCTTCTTAGTAAAAGTAACAAGTTCTAAGTCTTCCCTTTGAATAGGGAGAATACAGTTTACTAAGGAAATCAGAATTGAAAAACTGAACTGGGCTCCACAGTGACATGATGCATTTTAAAGAGCTATTTTTATGATTATTATATAATATTGGCCTACAGAATTATATGTATATGTTATATAAGAGAGAGAGAGAATGTGTGTGTGTGTGCGCGCGCGCGCGCACCTTTCTGTAGGCTCTGGGGCAGGATCAATTTTCTTGCCTTTTCAGTAGAGACTCCTGCAGTTCTCAGCTCATGGCCCCCTTCTCCATTTTCAAACAAGGACAAATTGAGTCCTTCTCATATCACATCACTCTGATTTATTCCATAGTTTATCCCTCTGTCACATTTTATGACCCTAGTAATTACTTGGGGCCCACCCATATAATGGAGGGTTATTTCCCTATCTTAGAATCAGCTATTTAACAACCTTAGTTCTGTATGCAACCTTAATTTTTCCTTTGACATGTAACATATATTCCTAGATCTAAGGAATTAGGATGCGATATCTTTGGGAGAGGGACAGTCTTCTGCCCATCACAATGGTCAATTGATTTTTGACAAAGATGCTTAACATCACTTGTCATTAGAAAATTTCAAGTTAAAACAAGATGCCACTACAAACCTATTAGAATGGCTAAAATCCAAGAAACTGATAATCCCAAGTCCTGACAAGTATGGGGAGCAACAATTGCTGGTAGAAATGCAAAATGGCACATTCACTTTGGAAGACTGATAGTTCCTTACAAAGCCAAACATAATCTCACTATATAATCCAGTAATTGCACTCTTAGGTCTTTACCCAATTGATTTGAAAAGTTAGGCAGCCATGAAATCCTGTGTGTGAATGTTTATAGCAACTGTATTCATAATTGCCAAAAATTAGAACCAATAAAAATTTCATTCAGTATGTACATGGGTAAACAAAATCTGGTACATCCATAAAGTGGAATATTATTCAGCACTAAAATGAGCTTTCAAGCCATAGAGAGGCATGGAGGAACATTAAATGCATATTGCTAAGTGAAAAAAATCAGTCTGAAGAGACTGCCTACTGTATGACGACAATGATATGACCTTCTGGAAAAGGGAAAACTACAGAGACATTAAAAAGATTAGTGCTTGTCAGTGGGATGGGAAGGAATGTTAAATAAGTGAAGCACAAGGTATTGGGTGATAAGGCTATTCTGTATGATACTGTAATGGTGGGTACC